CATCCAACCTGGCCTTGGACACTTTCAGGGATGGGGCAGCCACAGCTTCTCTGGGCAACCTGTGCCAGGGCCTCACCACCCTCACTGGGAAGAATTTCTTCACAATATCTAATCTAACCCTGCCCTCTAGCAGTGGGAAGCCATTCCCCTTTATCCTGTCAAAGTCCCTCTTGAGCTCCCTTGGTGTCCCTTCACACACTAGAAGGTGCTATAAAGTCTCCCTGGAGTCTCTTCTCCAGGCTGAACACCCCCAGCTCTCTCAGCCTGCCTCCACAGCAGAGGTGCTCCAGCCTCTGATCCTCTTCATGGCCTCCTTTGGACTTCCTCCAATAGATGCATGTCCTTCTCATTTTGGGCTCCTCACAGCTGGACAGAGCACTCCAGGTGGGGCCTCAGTAGAGCAGAGGAGAGGAGGAGAATCCCCTCCCTGGACCTGCTGGTCACACTGCTGGGGATGCAGCCCAATTTCATTAAATAAAAGTAAAATCATCACCAGCCACAAGAGCAGCTTCACACCCGAGCTCACCAGAGCTCTGCTCTCTTTTTCTATTGAATTTATTTTCACAGTATCCTTCTGTGGGATTTCTAGTCCTGCCATAAGCCCAGCCCTCATTAGTGAGGTCCTGGTCCAGAGGAGGTGTCCATGTATCCCTAGAATCATTACAGGGAATATTTTCTCAGCCAAAGGAGATGAAAATAGCATTTGGGGCAGGTAAACACCCCAGAGGAAGCAGAGGGATGTGTACCCACCACGGCACCCCTGTGAAAGGGTCAGGCTGGGGTGGGTGGGAAGAGGAAACTCCTCAGCCTTGGCTGTGGGAGAAGGGTCAAACGCTTCAGCAGCTGGAAAGTGGATTTAAGCCAATGCAAACAAACAAACAAAAGCCCAAAGAAAACAAGGCATCCTGGATCAGTGCCACGTGTTTAGCAGAGGTAGAGGAAGGCTGAGGCAGCACGAGACCCCGGGAGACTTGAGCACCCAGACCTGGTTGCTGTGTCCAAGAAACACAAACCGCGATAGGAGGGAGCACAAGGAGGGCTCAGAGGCTGTTTGAGGACACGGGAACCCTTTGCCACAGTGAGAGCATGGAGGGGGCTTGGGTGTCCTATCCTAGAAGGAGAAAAGAAGCTATCAGGTGATTCATGATCAGCCATAAATACCCCCGGGACTAAATAAACAGCATGGGGAAAAAAAAAATAAAGTGGAGCTGAAGAACATTACTGACACAGAGACACATTTATAGAAACTGGCCAAGAATGAGCTCAGGCTGGAAGGGAGGTGACAGCTCCTGCTCTGATAGAGCCACTGGAATAAATGACATGGTCCTCTTCAAATGCTTGGGAAGTTTGGGAATGGAGACAACAAGGCTGCAGGCTAAGGGACAGACCCCTGTGGCAATGAGGTACAGCTCAAGCCTCTGTTCCTACCTGTGAGCCAAGAGCTGCCCCAGCAGAGCACAGACACCTCTCTGCTTACAGACAGGCCCTGCACACGGATCACTTCCCACTGTCTGGCTTAAAACCACTGCAGCAGGATTTGGAAAGTCAGAGATCCAGCATGGGAAGACATCAAACCCTCCCTCACCCGCCCGCTCTGCAGGTCTCCCGCATCCAGGATTAAAACCATGGCAAAGCCCGATTGGAAGCATCCCCGGCAAGAAGACACCAGCGCAGCCACGCTGCCGGTGTGTGCATGGGCAGCCACACGCTGGAAATCCACAGCTCGTTTCCCTTGCACCGCCCAGGGAGGGCGAAGATGCTTCATCTTCAAGCCGGGGAAACATCCAGCCTCGGGCTCAGCCCGTGAACACGAGCGGCTCTCGCAGCAGCGGCGTTCTCTCCTTTCAGCGGCAGGAAAGCTGTCAGGTTGCTGTCAGCTATTTACATGCTGTACCCAGGGCGAACCAGCTCACGTGACGTTCGTTCACTTCTGGCACAACACTGCTCAGCTCACAGGCTGAAAATATCCACCCGATCGGGGAAAAAAATGGCTGCTTGTAAATCAAACGTGGGACTGTCCCTGCCTCTGCAATAGAACCGTCAAAATAAAAACCAGCCTGTGCAGAGCAGAGGTCTGGCCAGGCTGCTGCTCCGGTCCTGCCAGGACGAGCAAATATTTTTACTTGTATACCGGAATATTTGGTGTTACAATCGTGGCAGTGGGTGCTTCCACTGCAGGAAAGGGTGCTTCATGCTGGCTGCAAAATTGGAAGCCTCCCAGCCAAAATCAGGACTGTGGGGATTTGGTGCTTTGCACTGTGGAGAAGCACCCACGAAAAGCAAAAGGGTAAAAGCAAAACCTACTGTGTTTTCTGAAACACCCCAAACCCTGAACCCCAGCTGAGCAGTGCCAGATCAGAAGGAGACCATATGTGAGGTTCAGGCTGCAGTGTAGGTGCTCTGGATGCTCACAGCCCACTCACATTCCCCCTGCACTCCTGTCTCCAGCTCTGTGGAGAACTCGGCTCACCGAGTGAGAGTTCAGAACTCAGCAGAACCAGAACATGTTAAAAAAACCACCAAAAAACCAAAAGCCTAAGGTTGCCAACTGTTTCCACACTTTGGAGAATATTCCTGGCCATGTCTTTGATTCAGAGGGTGGTTGGGAAACCCATCTCCTGAAGGGGTTTGGTAACATTTAATTTTCACTCCAAGGCTTTCACGCCACGCGAAATAACAGAAAAATATACAATAAACCTTCTACCACTTAGATACATCTAAAACCAGATCAGGCTGCAAATCCTCTTTGACATCTCAACCGCCTTTACAGCAGGAATGAGGCGTGGGAGACAGCAGGAGCTCAGGGGACCCGTAGAAATCCTGTTTTCCATGCAACTTCCATCCTTATCAGGACCAGCACGGCGCCAGGTGCACAGGTTGATGGGCACTGCCCAGCTGCCACGTTTGCTCTTGCACAACTGCAGCCTGGTATTGCATGCAGTTTAAAAGGCCGTGGCTACACCCCATGCTGTGCCACAAGCCTTTCCATGGGCTACACAAGTGCGTAGAAGCAAAGGCAGCCAGGGCCTGCCACAGAAGCCACACAGATAAACCCCTGCAGACCCAGATACCCTTTGAGATAAGCAGCTAAAATTAATTTTCTCTGAAGCTGCTCGTGACAGCCCATCATCTCTCCTCAGCCCAGCTCCACAAAATAATCCCCTTCAGCGAGAAGCACCTTTATAGCAGGAGGCTCCGAGCAGCATCACTGGAATTGGGACAGGGAAAAGCAAAAGCCGATGGGGTGAAACTCTTTCTCGCCTGTGCATTTCCCAGCTGAGCCTCCAGCCGCCCTGCTCCTGTTTAAGAGGATGTATGTCCCCAGGCCCACTGCCAACAGGGACTTGAAGGTGTCACCATCACACCCAGAGCATCGCTGTGCCCCCAGGCTTTGCAGACACAGATGTGGCAGGTAAGGCAGGGGAGAGCAGGAAAGCAGCTCTGAAGCACCACAATCCCACAGGCTGCCACCGCTGTGGCTCTTGGCATCACCCATCTCACTGGCTGTGCTAGCCAGCGAGGGTCCAGCAACACAGCACAGAGGGAAGAGAGGGGGTCAGGGAAAGGCTCGATGCTTCTCCAGTTCACAGCTCGGAGCGGGATCTTGGCTCCCCCCAAGATGGGGTTGGAGGCATCCCCTGGGCTCCCACTGTCCCAGCCCGGGCACTGGTGGCTCAGGTGGCTGCAGGAGTGGTCAGCAGCTCCTTGCCAGGGCTGGAGGGTGAATTGGCACCACTGCTGGTCACATTCTCGTATTTGGGTTCTTCCTCCATGGCAGCCTGTCCCTTTGTTTCAAGGCTGACAACTAACTCAGGGCTTTTGCCCCTCTCAGTGGCACCCACAGCTTCGCTGGCCCCATCCTGGGCTCCGGTGCTTTTTGATGAGAGAGCTGCAAGAAGGAGGGACAGTCTCTTTGCAGGGAGATGCTGGTGCTTGCTGGAGGATGGCTCGGCCGGAGCCCCTGGGACACTCTCCCTCTGCTTGCAGCTGTTCACCGAGTCTCTGCGCTGCGCCAGGGCCCGGCGGGGTGGCTTCTGGATGGCCTCCATGCTCCTCCTCACCTTGGGCTCCTCCTTGGCAGCCCACTTGCCCCTCTGCAAGCTGCCCAGACGCTTCAGCACAGCCTGGACCGGTCCCTCGCCACCTCCTTCTGCCTTGGGGTCCTGCCCGGCCGTTCCCACCATCATGTAGATGGTGGTGACATTGGGCTCTTTCCCCTTCGCCTCCCAGCTGCCAGATTTTGCAGCTGCTTCCAGTGCCTCCACTCTCTGGGCCACGTGCCTGGTGCTGGAGACCACCCTCCTGCGTCCCCCCGGGGTGGCCCGTGGCGATGGCCGGTGGCTTTCCTCCCCCTTGCTGAGGGGCTCGGGGTTCTCGTAGCAATCACTGGCTGGTCGCTCACTCTGGGGCTCCACTGCCACATCCCCTGCTGTTTGGGTCAGCTTGGATGGGCCCCATGGGGTCTTGGGCTTCCAACTGGGGCTGGGGGTCTCCACTGCCCCAAATTTTGTCCCCTCGGCGAAGGACACGGAGGGTCGCTTGGCCTTGGCGATGCTGGAGGTGCGAGGGATGGCGAAGGGCTGGGACACATCCTCGGAGTCGAAGGCAGATGGGTCCGGGAGCACCTCACCAGGGGGGGATGTCCCATCCTGCAGCTCAGCACCCCCCAGCAGCGGGATGCCTGTGGGAGAAGGTGACAAGAGTTACGGCTGCCAGAGCCACTGCCCTGCCCAGGGACACACTCGGGGACACTGGGACAGGGGCTGGGGCAACAGGATTGTCCCTGGGATCGTTTCCCAGGGAGGAGGCTGTGAAATCGGACTGCCCACGCTGGGCATGTTCTGCCACACGAGGTCAAGCACAGCCCCGGTGTGTCCCTGCAGACAGGAAAACAAGGGCATGGAAATAAACACTGTCTGGGCCCAGCACCCATCCCTGGGACAGCCAAGGTTGGTAGCGGGGCAGGATTGACCCTGGCAGCCCGGATAGGCTGTGGGTGGCCAGGGAGAGGAGGAGCAGCCATGGATGTCACCTTCTCTGGGAGGGACAGAGTACTCGGGTCCCTCGTTGTCGGTGTCGAAGGAGGAGAAGGAGCTGTCTGACACCCACGCGGCCGACGGCGACTCGATAAAGCTGGGGTTGAAGGGGATTTCCGTGTCATGGTGGGACACTGGGAAGGAAAAGACACCCAGTTGAGCTTGGGCACCCCAGGGTGCTGAGGGCGGGGCTGGGAGAGGAGTTGGAAGCTTCCCTGGCACTGCAGAGATCACGGGGTGGGGGTGACCCTCTGGAAGTGCTGTTGACAGCTCTGCTTTTTTTACCTGTGACTTTGGGGAGTTTAGAGCCTCCCAGGTTGAAGCAGGGCATCATAGCACTGAGGTTCGCCAGCACCCCCTGCACGTGGTGCTTCATCCTGGCCACGACATCGTCGTCCGGCACAGCCGCCCTGCACGGCAGAGATGGACATCAAGGGACACAGGAGATGGGCTTTGTGTCAAAGGTTGCAAAATATGAAAAAATACCTGTCTCTAGCATCTGCTGGGCTGGCTCCACAGCAACAGCAGGCAACGCAGAGCAGCAGCAGCAGGAGAGGGACAAGGATGGCGGCTGCAAGGGCTCCGTGGTCCTTCAAACCTGTGTGGAGAGCACGGGTTGATTGTGGAATGCCCTGTGGCTGTGAAGCCCAGAGAACTGCCCTGCATGGAGAATGCAGGAGCTGGCAACTCATGGTTGGGCCAGGAAGCACCAGGTAGGACCAAGCTGCATCCCAGCCTCCTGGCACCTTCCCCAGTGAGGATGTGACCATCCCTTGCCCAGTAGTAAATCTGAGGTTGCTCTTACTCAGCACACAGTCACCCTGCACAGGGTCACAGGTCCCCCGGGAGCACTGGCAGGGCTCAGAACAATTCACTCCAAAATATCCCTCTGGACAGGTGTCGTTGCAGCTGGAAGAGAGAGGAAAGGAGGGAAATGCCCCTGGAGAGAGCAAGGCCCCAGCCCTGCCCTGCTCCCAGAATTGTCCTGGCGTTACCTGTCTCCCCAGTAGCCTGCCTGGCAGATGCAAACTCCTGTCACGGGATCACAGCTCCCTGCAACACACTCGGGGCAGAGGAGCTGGCACCCATCACCGAAGGTGCCTGTGGGGCAGGAGTTGTTGCAGCTGCCAAGACAGAGAGCAAAGCATCAGACGGCTGCACCTCAGAGCAGAGACCCCCCTGAGGACCACAAACTCCATCCTGGGCATACCTGGGTCCTGTCCAGCCGGGATCACAGTGCAGGCAGGACCCCGTCTCAGGGTCACAGGGCTCCCCTCGCAGGCAGCGGGGACACGGCTGGAGGCAGCTCTCGCCATGGAAGCCGGGAGCGCAGGGATCCTTGCAGAGAGTCCCGTTCCAACCAGGCTGGCAGGCCAGGCAGAAGCCATCCACGGGTGAGCAGGGCTGGCTGCGCTTGCAGCTCCCACAGCTGCATGGGCAGAGAGGCAGTGAAGTCACAACACCCACCCCTGGCCCCTCAAAAAGCAGGTTTCACCCCACACCAGCACTGAGCATCAGTTTGGGCCACAGGGAAATACTGTGTAGTGCCAAGCACTCTGTAGTAGCAAGAGGATAGGAGGAGAGCAAAATCACAGAATATTCTGGTTGGAAGAGACAGGGGAGATGCTGTTTTATGACCCTGGGGAGCAGGACTAAGGATAATGCAATTTTAGGGTGACACCAGCGCTTTCTGCTGGCATTAGTGAGATGTTTCTCTTGGGACAATGCTGATGCTGCATCCAACCAGGGATGCTTAAATCCCACAGGATGGGTCTCCCTGACCAGACAGACACTACCGTGATGACTTCCCTCCAGGTGTGACTGCCACCCGGGGGTACTCACTGGATCCCCCTGCTGCCCCCAGCTCACCTGTGCACGCACTGAGACCCGTATTTCCCTGCCGGACAGGGCTCCCGGCAGCTCCTGCCCTGGTAGCCGGGGTCGCAGGTGCAGTGGCCGGTGACGGGGCTGCAGGAGCCGTGCATGCAGTCACAGCGCCGCTGGCACGCCGGCCCCCAAAACCCGGCCTTGCACTCGCACTTGCCCGTCTCCTGGGCGCAGGGAGAGTGGTAGCAGGAGCACTTGAAGCTGCACCTCCTGCCCCACCAGCCCGGCAGGCAGCGGCAGAGGCCGGTCAGAGAGTCGCAGTGGGAGCTGGCGAGGTTGCACTGACATTGCTTCTTGCAGTGGGGTGCCCACCAGCCCGGCTCACAGTGGCAGGCGCCCGTCAGGGGGTCGCAGCGGCCGTGGGGGCCACACTGACAGGGGAACTGGCAGACCTGTCCCCAGTGGTTGGGGTCGCAGGTGCAGTGCCCGCTCACCGGGTCGCAGCGCCCGTTGGGGTGGCACGGGCAGCTCTGTTTGCAGTCGGGGCCCCAGTACTGCTCGGGGCAGCCTGCGGGGGGAAGGAGACTGTGAGGAATGGGGGGAAGTCCTGCAGCCCCCGGGAGCATCCCGGCTGGCAAAGGTGACGGTGGGATTGGCTGATCCCTGTGGGAACACTCACGGGAACTGCAGTCTGCTCCGAAGAAGCCGGGTTTGCAGCGGCAGACCCCGGGTTTCACACAAACCTCGTCCTCCCCACAGGCGTCCTTCCCCTCGCACAGTGCTGTCATGGCAGGGCAGAAATATCAGCACACAATGGCCCCCCAGGTTCACACCCCTCTGCCAGACCACCTGCCACCCACTCCTGCAGAGACAGACTTCCTGGGGAATCTGCCATCCCGCTTCCCGCTCCATCCCTCCACCTGAGCCACAGTACCACCAGCAGCTTGCTCAACGGGCATTTGGGGGTCCCCATGGCACAGCACCCCACCACTGTCCCTTGAGCAGAGCTGCAGGGCTTCCCCCCAACATCCAGCACTGTGGAGGAGCCGCCTGGAAAAGAACAGGGACTGAGTGTCCGGCTTCATCATCATCCAACACTCACCAACTGTGCACTCCCGCCCGTCCTGCTTCCAGCCAGGGCAGCACTCCAGGCCGGTGGGGAACCTGTGGGAGACACCCAGAGGGTCTGTCAGCCAGGGCAGGGGGTGCTGGGGCCAGGACAGCTTCGCTTGTGGCTTCAGCCAAGGCGAAGCGATCCCCCGCCCCAGCGGTGGGACGGCAGTGCGGCCACAAGGACAACGCTCCGGAAGGAAACCAGCAAAATAGAAGGAAATTTAGGAGCCTGCAGCCTGAGTGGGTGGTGGGGCTGGCCTGCCCAAACTGCCGGGAATGCCGCTATGGAGCCCGTGACGGGTCCCCAGTGCCCTGGGAACGGCTCAAAGCTTCACCAGCAACGCAGAAATAAGGCACTGAAACAAAGGCAGCAAAAGGCGCCGCTGCTGATGGGAGACCAATGGGAGAGGCAACACGGCAGCAAATCAGGGGACATCAGTTCCCACAGCCCTTTGGGGTCTGCTATGCCAATGTTTCCCCACGATGAGTTTTGCCAAGGCTCCTGTATCGCCCCATTGCCCTGTGCACTGGGGGTGAATGAGAAATAACCCCTGGAAAGGGGTCTGGGTGTCCCAAGTGCCCCCGAGTGCCCCAACCACGGTCCCCAGCATCACTCCAGTCTCTGCACCCACATGATGCCGGGCTGCAGGTCTCCGTCTGTGGAAGGACGGATGGACAACACACCTCTGGGGCTGCTGAGAAGCCCAGGAGATGGAGGGGCACAAGTGGGGACCCCCACGGCACCTACCTGCAGACGTTCCTGCCATCGGGGTCGAGCTCCTGGGCAGAGCTGTGCACCCACAGCCACAGCTGGAGGCAGAGGATGGGCTGGACGCTCCCCATCACCACCAGGGCCCAAGTCCTGGTGGCTCCCCAGCCCCACGCTGGCGTCCGTCTGTCCCGTCCCTCCCGTGGTGCGGCCTCTTCCTCCCTCCAGCCTTGGGTTTCTTCCTGAGGAAACGCGGGAGGAGTCACCCCAATCCAGACGTCAGGAGTACGGCAGGGAGGGGAGCAGGGAATGCCACTAAAGGGCTGTTTTTGGCCCTTGCTGCCACCCTGCCAGCAGAAATGGGCATCCAAGGGCTTGGCACAACCACGTGGGGGG